GTTGAAGTTGAACTATTAATTAATTCTGGATGATTTTCCAAGATAAAATTATGTGCAACTATTAACCCACATTTAAAATAATTTGCCCATGAAAATTCATCTTGATTAATTTTAATAACTGAACCATCATTTGGTAATTTAACAATTTCATTTTGGAAATTTGGTGAAGTATTACTTAATTTAATTTCATCTGAATCATTGGTTTCAACTGCAATAATAACATCAGCATCTAAAGCCATTGGTAAAACTGAGAAATAACAATAATCAATATGATCACCAATTAAATTAACACGACCTGGTGAACGACTTATAAATTCTGGCTTTGAATTGTATTCATTTTGAAATTTTGAAATTAATCCATCATATCTTTGTTTAATTGAAGGGTTTGAAGGATCTGAATAAAATGATAAATCATGGAAAGTTGGAACGATTGAGTTCATATTGGACAATGCTGTGATATTAATGTCTTAATAGTATTATATTTTCGAATTGAATCTTAAGAATGAACAAGTTGGTGAAAGATTCAACCATCAATATAAACAATCTGATTTTTTTTTCCTTCACTTTGTCGAGTTTATAAGTTAGGACATTTTGCCAAATATGGGGGTCCGGGGAAACTTACAGTTTGAAAAATCAGGACAAAAATTGAAAATTGGATGTTAAAAAAAAATTAGTTACCCAAAAACTTTCAATTTTACTCTCTATTGTTACGAAACTGAAACAAATAGCCTATAATTACTTCTTGAATCTGATATAAGAAGTTTTACATGACGTCAGATATGAAACTACTTATAATTTACCTGGTCTATAACCGTACAATTTAGTTCATGCTTTTAGGACATTTTCGTAGAATTAGTGAAAAGTGATATGATCTACTATTATAATCCGACCCCTAATTGATCCAGACGTAAGATATAGCTAAGTTGAAAGCTATGAATACAGTTTGCTTAAAGCTAATTGGTATGATTTGGTGTCTGATATGAGTTAATTGTTCCGTGTAAATCACATACGAGTGACCTGATTATTGATAGTAATTGTATAACCCAGTTTTTATACGAAGATATTGATATACCGAGATATGAATAATCAAATAGAAAACGGAAATACCGTGCTAAATTTTGCATTATAGTATGAGGTGCTACGGTGCTACTTATTTTTTTACTTTCAGCTTCCAAAGACCAGTTACTCCTCATTTCATACCAACAACATTTAAGCTCAAAAGGTACGGTCTATTAATCATGGTATAATATCTTTAGAATATGTACCATGTACAAAGTTCAATAAAAATGAGAGCTCAATTCAATATTATTGACGTCGATGTCTGTCAAAGTTTCATCATATATTCAATATATGAAACACTATACACTAGCCAGTATTCAGAACAGTTCTATCATTGAATTAGTTTTCGGGATAACTATAACTCCAATCACGGAACTTTTTCAGATGGAATTATTACAAAATGAAATGTAAAAATTTAATTGAGCGCTTAGTCAACATACAATTTGTAAAATTTAGCTTTAAGTTTGGTTTGAAATATACACTTTAAACTTTTATCCAGTGCAGAAATTGGAAATTATTTGTCCATTGTCCAATTAAAATTAAGCTGGAACATTTTAAATTTTAGGACAACTTGCTTTCTCCATTTTTTCCTGCATTTGTCCGCAGATCTCGCCAGATCCTTACATCAAAACAATTATCACCTAAATTTGAATTTACAAATAAAAGTAATCAAGGAAATTTAATTAACTACAAAACTACAAAACTATTCTTTCAAACAAAGATACTCAAGTACTATTAATCCATATACAAATCATGTCTGAACAATATATTTTGGTTACCGGAGGTGCTGGTTATATCGGGTCTCATACTGTCATTGAGCTAATTCAAAATGGTTACAAAGTGGTTATTGTTGATAATTTAATTAATTCAAGTTTTGATGCAGTTTCAAGAATTGAATTTATTGTTGGTGAAAAAGTTCCCTTTTTCAATGTTGATTTAAAAGATGAAAAATCATTAACAAAAGTATTTGAAACTTATTCAATTAAAAGTGTTATTCATTTTGCTGCATTGAAAGCTGTTGGTGAATCTACTAAAATCCCACTAGATTATTATGATAATAATGTTAATGGTACAATTACTTTATTAAAAGTTATGAATAATGTTAATGTTAAAACAATTGTCTTTTCATCATCAGCTACTGTTTATGGAGATGCTACAAGATTTGAAAATATGATTCCAATTCCTGAACATTGTCCAAATGATCCAACAAACCCTTATGGTAAAACAAAATATGTAATTGAACAAATCATTCATGATTTATACAATAGTGATCCTGAATGGAGAGCTGCTATCTTAAGATATTTCAATCCAATTGGTGCACATCCTTCTGGATTAATTGGTGAAGATCCATTAGGTATTCCAAATAATTTATTACCATATTTGGCTCAAGTTGCCATTGGAAGACGTGAAAAATTATCAATTTTTGGTAATGATTATAATTCACATGATGGTACTCCAATTAGAGATTATATTCATGTTGTTGATTTAGCAAAAGGTCATATTGCTTCATTATCTTATTTAAACAATTTGGAATCTAATAAAGGTTTATTTAGAGAATGGAATCTAGGTACTGGGAAAGGATCAACTGTTTTTGATGTTTATCATGCATTTTCTAAAGCTGTTGGTAGAGATTTACCTTATGAAGTTGTTGGTAGAAGAGCTGGTGATGTTTTAGATTTGACTGCTAATCCAACAAGGGCAAATACAGAATTGGAATGGTTTGCTGAGAAATCAATTGAAGATGCTTGTAAAGATTTATGGAGATGGACAACTAAAAATCCATTTGGTTTCCAACTTGATAATTATAAATGGACAATATTTGGTGAAATAGAAGGTAATAGACTTCATACTGTTGATCTTGATGGATTTAAAGTTTCCATTACAAATTATGGTGCTACAATTCAAAATATTGAATTAAATGGTGATAAATTAGTTCTAGGTTTTGATAATTTAGAAAGTTACCAATCATCATCAAATCCATTTTTCGGTGCAACTGTTGGTCGTTATGCAAATAGAATTGGAAATGGTGGGTTTACAATTGATGGTAAATCATTTAAAACTGAAATTAATGAATCTGAAAATAAAACTTTACATGGAGGATCCCAAGGATTTGATAAAAAGCAATGGTTAGGTCCAATTGTATTGAAAGAAGATGATAATTCAGTTTCTTTATCATTTAAATATATTGATCCTAATGGATCAAATGGATTCCCAAGTGATTTAGAAACCATTGTTAAATATATTGTTTCACCTAAAAACACATTAACAATTGATTTCGAATCACAAATTGTTGGTAATAATGGTGATGTTACAGCTTTAAACTTAACAAATCATTCATATTTTACTTTGGGTGATGATGTTATTGATGAATATCAAGTTGAATTATCAACTCCAAAATATTTAGCATTAGATTCAAATCAACTTCCAACTGGTGAAACTAAAAAATTAGATTCCACTTCATTTAAATTTGGATCTCAACAATTTGATGATGATTTTATTATTAATGAAGCGAATGAATTATTGGACACAAGATCTCAAGATTTGAAAACTTTGGTTAACATCAGTTCCTCATCACATTCAATTAAAGTTTCAAGTACAGAACCAGCTTTCCAATTATATACAGGTGATGGAATTTTTGTTGGAGAATTCAAATCAAGAGCTGGCTTTGCAGTGGAACCAAGTAGACCAGTTAATGCTATTAATTCATCAAATGCTAAGCAAGTTATTTTACGTAAAGGTGAAACTTATGGTTCCAAAATTCAATATGAATTTGCTTAGTTACATCCAATAATTGTTTGATTATATCATGAATTCATTATATATACTATAGATCATATCTCTAATCTTTATGGTAATATTGCTTAATAATTTTTGTAATTCCTTCTTGTAACGAAATTTTTGGTTCCCACCCCAATGATTTCATTTTGGAACAATCCAAGAGATACCTAGAATCATTATAGTTTCTATCTTTTATAAATTCAATATAATCTGTACATTGATTCCCAGAAATAGTTTCGTATGTTTCCATTATCAATTTAACAAGATCCAAGTTTTCTATTTCAAAATTATGGTTATGATCACCACCAACATTGAAAATTTCTCCCAGAAGCTGACCTTGTAGTTGCTTAAGCCATATTAACTCTATAGCTTCAATAAAATCTGTTGTATAAAGATATGTTCTTTTATATTTCCCAGAACCATGTATAGGGACTTTAGCATAAATATTTTCACCACTAGATCTTTTCCTTATGACTTCCAAAACCACTGGAACAATCTTCTCTGGATATTGGCCAATCCCATAAACATTATTAGATCGTATCACAGTGATTGGTATTTTGTATGAATAGATATAAGATTGGATTATCAAATCAATTGCAGCTTTAGTAGCAGCATATGGATTTGTTGGATTTAATTTAGATTCTTCTGTGACATATTTGGAGTTATCCAATTGTTCACCATAAACTTCATCAGTGGATATGTGTATGAATTTTATAGCATTTGATCGATCTTGTAAACGACAACATTCTAATAAATTTTGAGTACTAATGATATTATTTTGAGTGAAAAATAATGGATCAATAAATGATTTATCAACACATGATTCAGCTGCAAAATTGATGATTTGTGTGATTTTATAGCTTTTGAATAAAGTAATCAACTCTTTTATTGAAATTTTGGATAAATCTTTCTCAATGAATTGGAAATTTGAACATTCAAATACTTTAATAAATTTGATATTACTAGCATAATTCAATTTATCAATACATATGAAGTTGATTTGTGGATATTTTTGGACCATGAAATTGACAAAATGAGCACCTAAAAACCCAGCACCACCAGTTATAAGAATAGCACCATAATATTCAGTCATTGTGTTGAAGTTTGAACCTATGTATTATTTTGTATAAATGAAGCTGCCTATACTCTAGAGCCTATACTTTATCGTTAAAAAAACATTTTTCTACCTATAAAAATAAACGCGTTGTAAGTTGTAACCACTCTAAAATTAAATTTGTCCTGACTTTTCGGCTAAACTTCGAAAAATGATATTTTGCGAAAAAAAAAAGAAAAAAAAGCTGGAAACTGGAGAAATTCCGGGGAGCGCCGCGTATAATCATGAGTGACCAAACATGCATAAAGTATGTTGCATATGTCCTGAAAGAAAAAACACTTGTAGCCTGGATGTCCAAAGGACAAAAATCCGGAGTCGATCAAAGTTCTTGAAGAGCTGATAAATTTCCTTTAACCACGTTATAAAGATAATCATCAACACCTTCAATTGATTTCCTATTTATATATTAATATATCACTTCTTTTGAAAGTTCATTTTCCAAAGAGTTTTCTGAATTAATTATAAACTAAGGAGCACAAAAATGACCACCAACTTTGATTTCACTGACCATTCACATCGTCGTTATAACCCATTAAATGATACTTGGGTATTATGTTCACCTCATCGTGCTAAAAGACCATGGCAAGGTGCTGTTGAAGAAATCAAGAAGAATCAATTACCTGAATATGATCCAAAATGTTATTTGTGTCCTGGAAATGTAAGAGCTACTGGTCCAACTAATCCAAAATATACTGAAACTTTTATTTTCCCAAATGA